GGCAGGTCCCGGAGCAGCAGCGCTGCCGGATGCCTCCGCCGCCGGCACGGGGCTCTGACGTGCCGTGTTCTGCAGCCACAGGGTTTAACGGTCTGTTCGGTTTCTTTGAGTTTCTGAAGTTGACCTAATAACGTTAAATTTTGCAGAAGCTGGAGGGTGCTGCCTCGACACAGCTCTCAAGCAATTACGTCTCGCAAGTTCCCTCCCTAAATGTCAGCGCATCCAAATCTTGTTGTACTGAGGAGCTTCACGATGGGAAGCTGCCTGCTGGCCTTGACTTTGGGCCTTCCTTTAATGCCAGGCTAGGAGAGGATCCTGCAGCTGATCCTCAGTGTTCATGCTCCAAGACTTCTGGACCCTTTTTTGTCTGAACAGCAGAGAAGGCCTTCACACAAAGAGCTGGCGTTTGTAGGGAGACCCGTCGACGTGAAGGCGTAAAGCCGGGCAGGTACTGAGGTGCCATGAGAAGGACAAGAGGAGAGAGGCAGATCCCCAAAAGACAGTAAGATATGTCTGTGCATGCATCTTACCCCATGGATCACGTATCCTGGATCGCCGTACAACAGCAGCGGGGTGATCCGGGAGTGGTTGGCGTAGTGGAATCTCCTCGGAAAGTCGGCTTTCTTGTACACGTGTAAGTTTGGGTGGGCATTTTTCAGGACTGAATACACATGCTCTAATTTTCCTTCTTTTGGCACCAGTAGTCCATTTGGTCCGTAATCTAAGAGTTCAAACTGGATGTCTTTGAATGTGAAGTTCGCTACTGTCTGGATGTAAATCTCGTTGGTCTTTATGACAGTCTCCATGCCGTGGTCGGATGTGATGATGAGGCTGAGGTTTGATTCGAGGCCGCTTTCCTGGATACGCTGCCTCAAGTAACCGATGGTTCGGTCCACCTGCTTGACCATGTTTTTCCTCTCTGGGGATTCAGGGCCGTACTTGTGTCCTGCTGAGTCTGGCTCACCGAAGTAGAGGGTGATGAAGTCGAGGTTGTTCACTGTGAACCATTCCATGACGGTGTCAATGTTCTCTCTCCAGTTGGTTTCGTTGCTGTAGTTGAACAAGGGTGGCTCCACCAACTTCATATTCACCTCTTCCCCTTGATATTTTGCTTTTCCTCCAGGGAAATAGATAGAGCCTGTCTTTAAACCCTGTTAGTGGAGACATTGCATAAACTCACCTGAACTCTCTCTGCAGCATCTCTCCATCTGTCAGTGCAACCACCTACTAATGCGGTTAGTTCATTCAGCCCCTTAATGTCTACCTCTGTCTCTAATGAGGTTTTCTTGCTCATTGCCAATTAAAAGTGATTAATGGAAAGCAGTGCCCTTCCCAGAACTCCTGCACGTTGGTTTTCTCACTGCGCTAGTAACACTAGTTATAACTTTGGACACAGTGACCCGTTTGTACCTTGCGTGGACCCTCTGGCTCTTGACCGTCAAGACGTTAAGGTGTGTTTGACTCCAATCGTAGAAGCACGCGCCCTGAAGTCAATGGGGCCAATTTGGCAGGTAAATACAGACAGAGGTACGTGTCTTGGGCCAGGTCTCAGGTCCTGTCTCGAAGGCAGATTCAAAGCCTGCTGGGGTCTAGGAGAGCCTTGCTGCGGTCCCCAGCGAGAGGGGAGCAGCCCCTGACACTGCCGCCCCACGGTCCTGGGGGGGGCTGCGGACGCGAGGAACATGCCTCGGGGTCTCTGAAGCCCCTGGCCTCGTGATGCTCCCTAAGGAACTGGTTGAGGTTTCTTTAAACAGGAAAAGGATAACCTGTTTTATCAATGTCTTAATAAAGCTGAAATGCATCTATTATTTTTTGCTGTTTTTAATAGAATGATCACAATTATTCCTGCCAGTATCTGGGGATTTCATTTTTTTGCTGTTCTAATTAGCCTGTCGTTTGCAGTGAGGATGTTAGCTCATGGCCACTAGAGATCGTGGCTTGCCTGTAGCTTTTACTACACGATCGCAGGCAGGATCCGTCTGTGCAGGGGCTGTGCGTGAGAGGGGGCCGCCGCGCTCGCCCGTCTAGCCAGATTGGCATGCTGCCGTTGTCCCACCAGCTGTCCACGCCTTGCGTGCTGTGGTAGGACAGCTTCAGACCCGTGCTGGTGTTGAACCACATGTTGTGAATCACCCCGTGGTTCTCCAGGTACCTCCCTGTCAGGAGAGATGGAGGAGGTGGGGGTGAGCCAGGCTGCGGCTGTCGGGGGGGGTCTGGCCCCCGCGCTGGGCAATGGGTCAGCGAGGAGCTTCTGCCTCTCGTGCCCCATCCCGACTCTCCCTTCGCCTCTGCTTTGCCTCCTTCCTCCCCCTGCCTCGTGCAAAGTGGGGTTCCCAGGGCAGGGAATGGGACGCTGGGGCGATGCCTGCTCCTCGCGTGGGTGGGTTGATCCCAGGTGGGTCTCACCCGGACCCCGAGCCGGGGCACCCTTGCCCCTGGAGCTGCCGGAGCCACCTGCAATCGCTCCTGCCCTTCGCGGCACAGGTGGGCTTCCCCGTTATCCTGCATTTAACTAATCGCGTTTGTGTTTGGCTTTCTCTGTCGTTCACAACCCGTGAGGTCAGTGCGCAGTAGAAGTTCCTGTTAAAAATGGAAGACGTGCACTACGTGCTATTACATTTCATGCTACTTTTATTATTCTGGTCCTGAAGACTGCACAGTTACTTCTGCACAATATCCCTCTCCTCCCTTGTATTGACAATGCCTCCCTGCCTTTTCCCATCAGCAGATTTCATTAGCATGTTCCACTCTTTTATGCCAAGGTTATTAATTAAAATCTTAAATAAGATTGGCTCCAAAATCGATTCTTCAGGAATTCCCCTGTTGCCTTCCCTCCAGCTTGACAATCTCCTCTCAGCATCACCTGCCGTCATCTCCCCTGTAGCCCGTTACTTCCATGCATTAAAGATTTTGTACTAATCTTCATCTTCTCCATCTTAACTAACGGTTTCCCGTGTGCCACTCTGTCAAAGGCATTACTTAAGTCCAGAAAGCTTAAATTTAGTGCGTCTCTCTTGTTTAAAAAAATAATTTATCTTATCAAAGGAGGCTATCAGGTTGGTCTGGTGCTATTTACCTTCGATAAATACACGTTCGGTTCTATCCCTTTCTGCAACTGTTGCCTTGTCTCTATTCTAAAGCTTCCCACGCTGCTGAGGCTGGATGGCCGCTTGACTTAATGTCCTTCTCTGACGCACAAGCTTTACGTTTGCCCTTCCCCAGCCTGCACCCTGTGCTGCTCCGTCTGGCCCGGGGCCGGCGGGGACTCACCGGTCAGCAGCGTGAAGTGGCACGGGCTGGTGATGGTGATAAAGGCAGGAGTCATGTACCGCGCCTTCACCCCCTCCGCAGCCATAGCGTCGAGGTTGGGAGTGTCCACGTCCTGGTCGTAGTTCCACCGAAAGCCATCAAAGGACACCAGGAGGACTTTCCTGCCGTTGGGTGCCTGCTGCACGGGGATAGGGATACATCTTGCCAAAGAGAGGGCAGCAAATAGGAACCCCAGGGAAGTGAGCATCTTCATGCCCTTGAACTGGAATAGCCCAGACATCTGGAGAGCTCACATTAATACATGCAGGATGGGACTAAGTTCAGTTCTTATCTAATCTTGCAGTTGCTGATCAGGTGCATCAGCCAGCACTTCATATCAGAATGAGCCTCTCTGGTTTTTGTCTAACTGAAGCAGATTAAATTTCCTTCTGGGTCAAACACCAAATCTGCCTCCTCCATCACTGGTGTCGGATGCTACTTCAGTGCTCAGGAATGGGAAGAATTGCTCTCACGGCAGGAGGCTGCCTTCTGCAGGCAGCCCGTGCGAAACCTTCCTCCCCGCCACACCGTGCCCCCGCCGCCGTCCTTCGCCCCGTGCCGGCTCCCTGCAGCCCGTTGCGGTGTCTGTTCCTGGCTTTTGGTGCCCTTCTCTTTGGTCAGCAGTTCAGCTTCAAAAAGCAACTCACCCCCCTCCAGGGCTGCTCATCCACCTCGAGAGGGGTGCTCAGAGGCTCAGAAAAGAGCTTGGAGTTACCTGAGGTTCTCGAGTGTGGCTTTGTGGAGCTACACGCTGGGGAAGGAGGCTCTTTCCTGGCTCCTGCCCATGCCAGCAACCCCCAGAGATGCTCCCGAGAGTGAGCCCAGCTCTGGAGCCCCTGTGTCCCATCAGCCCAGCTTCTGCTGCTTGGGTCTTGCTGCTCACCGTGGGTGATCCTCATCCGCTCGTGCACTGCTGAGCTTTGCTGAATCAGCATTCCATTTTATCAATATCTGCTGTTTTTATGACTTCTCTGGAGTTTAATCATTGCTGATGACTCATTTCTCGGCAAAACTGAGTTTAAGGCTTTTGTGGTCTTATGTAACAGAGGTTGCCTTGGTTCCGCGGGATCTGAACTCTCAGCCTTTGTGTCTTTGCTGATCTCCCCCTGCTCAGGTTCCAGATGTATTTCTTTGTGCTTTGCTTCCTAATTGCCCAGCCATCCCTTCCCTCGCCAAGCAGAGCCGTCTCCACTGGTTTCCCCAGCCCTGTCTGGGGTCATTCCTTGCCATTTCTCCCCCAAGGGCGAGCTGGGCGGATGGGTCCCACACACTTGCCATGGTTCGTCCTTCCTGGCCCACGGCAGTCTCTTCGTAGACCTGAGCATCCCTGGGTATTCCCGTCTGGACTGATTCCTCAGGGTGCATCGACGTCTCAGTCGCCTCTTCCCCTGTGCTCGTTTCCGAGGCGTGACATGGGATAATCGTGCATGGACGCTGCGAGAGGTTCGAGCGATCCCCCCAGGGACCTCACGGCCGACGTGAGCCAGGAGCGCAGCCCTGGGCGCTTCGTTTGCAGACAGTGGAAGCGCGCCCAAGCTGTGCTGGGATGGAGTCTGCTCTGAGGCCCGAGCCAAGCCCTCCTCCTGCTAACGGAGGACATGGGGTGGGTATTGGTCTGACAGCAGCCCAGGCTGGGGCTGCGGGGCTCTGCGGGGCTGTGCTGGGTGCTGCGAAGCCGGAGGCTGCCGGTGCGACCGGTGCATCTGTGCACCCTGGGTTTGGCCACGCTGGAGCACAGTGGTCGTTCTGCTGGGGTCTGTCTGTCCGTTCCAGTAGCTGCCGTGTGTCCGGCTCCGCCGGCCCCGGCCCCGCAGTTCGCTCAAGGAACTATTTTGTTATCAGCGTTTGCTGCGCTGCGTCTGATACTGTCCTTCCAGCGAGGACAGAGGGGCCTGGCAGGCAGTGAGAGTTTAAAGGGCTCACATGATAAAGATGTTATCATTTACCAAGCTCAGGGAGAGTCCTAAATATTCAGCGTGTTGTTCTGAGGTGGGTCAATAAGTCCCCGTGCCATTGCTAACAGCACAGGGGAAGGTCCCGATAAGTTATCGTGTTCATCGGCTCCGCTGGGACGGAAGAGGCTAGAGAGAAGGATGCAGTGCTCTAATCTCGGAAGAATATTTAATGACAGGAGTGTCTCAAGGCACATTTTGATATTCGGTATCTGAGGAGCATGAGGCACAGATAAAGGAGATCACCTTTGGCCGCCCTGTCTGGGGACGCTGTCGGTCTCCAGTTAAAAGGGCTGATGCAGTTGATCTTGCACTAACAGCACGCCAGGCACTTATCCTACGAGCAGATGTGCCCGAGGGTCCCTGGCTGCTCTGGGGCCACCACATCCCCACTCAGCACCCTCCGGACCACAGGCCCCTTGCTGATGGCACTGATCCTGCATCCTTGGAAGCACGAGAACGTGCAGTGAGCTGTGCTCCGAGGGCACGAGCTGTCAGTCCCACACCTAATTGGGGAAGATGGTCCCTGCAAAGGCGTGCTGGGGCCGGGACTGTCCTTCCTACACTTGTGTACCAATTAACTCAGTGAACACAGATGAAGGGGCTTGAAATAGAAATCGTGAGCACAGAGAAGTCACCCACCAGTGGAACTGCCCCGTCTGTCTGAAACATACTGCTTAGGGGCCCAGCCTGTTTCCAGCCTTTGGAAAAAGCAACGTGCCGAGCACGCCTTGGGCAAAACCGCAGCTTCCCCGCGGCGTGCGGACACGTGTGGGCAACGCTGGGCAGATGCCGGGGTCTGTGCTGGGGGGGGGGAGCAGTTTGGGCAGGGAGGCAGGGGCCGGCTGGTTTTACTTGTTTTTTGTTTTTAAAGGAGAAATCAAACCGCAAATTTCTCAGGGGTGCCACTTGAGTTTTAGTCAGGAATGTCACACTTTGTCCCACACGAGCAGTCACTCGGCTCCACAGGGCGCGTGTCTGTGGGGATCTGTTACCGGCATGGCCTGAGCTGCTCCGTGGCGATGGGATTGAGGAGCTGGGCGATGCCTGGGCCCAGGCACCTGGGAGCCCTCCTCAGGTGGGCCTGGCTGGCTGGAGGGAGGGGGCTTGGGGAACACCTTATAAAAGCCCTCCACCCCCCTGAGAGCCCTTTTGGTGCTGCTCTGCCTGAGCGCAGAGGGAGGAAGCACTGGGACGTGGAAGGATGGCAGAGACCTGGGTCTGAGCCACCTCAGGAGAGGTAGGATGTGTGCGGGGTCTCTGGGTGGGTGGGTGGCTGCTTCCCCGGGGAAATGCTGAGCTGCAGCCTCCTCTGCTCCCCAGGGAGAGCCCCCTCCCAGGTGCTTGCTGGGGTGCTGGAGGGCAGGATCGCTGCAGGCTGGCAACAGTGCACTTGGACATAACAGAGAGGATTGATGAGTTAGTGGAAAGCAAGGAAGTGTGTTTCCTTTGCTCGCCTTGCTGTCCTGCCTGGAGCAGCTCTGCTCGGTGGATCAGCTGCACTGTCCCGATGGTTAAAGCATTGCATGTGCAGCCTCTTGGAAAGAGGGTGAAGGAAGGGAAAAGGGGAGAGAGAAGGTGGCCAGGAGAGTGAGGAAAGAATGGACCAAAGCAGCTGGAAGTGCCCTGGTTTGCTCTTGCCTGCCTCCTCCATCGGTTTGGTGCAGCTCAGACACGGGGTAAGTGTCTGCAGTGCTCCTCTTGGCTCCCAGCACACGAGCGCCTGAGCACCACGGGCCTGGATGAGCTCCTCAGCATCGCTGAAACATCTCGTGCCAGGACCTTGCGGGTCAAGTCGTAACACTGCCCCGGCGAGCGGGACCAGGAGGAGCTCTGCGGCAGAGCGGGTCTGGAGTGACTGGGGGGGCAGGTATGTGGAGCTACGGAGTGTTGGACGGGGCTGCGGAGTCTGTGGAAGGTGCTGGGGAGTGGATGCACCTGGGACAGCTGGGTGGAGTTGGTGGGTGTGGGGCAGACCCTGTTCTGGCCCGTGCCGAGCGTGGCTGGGAGAGAAGGCAGTTCCCAGGCAGAGCAGAGACCCGGCTTTGCTGACGCCCGCTGCTATATCCAGGGAGAGCCAATGTGGGTGTTTAAGCAGCCTTATCCCAGGCATGGCCGAGGAACTGGGATGCAGGTGAAGCGAGTGCGGATGGAGAGCAGCGGCGACAGCGTGCGCAGGGAATCAAAAGCCAGGAGCAGCCCCGTGGGGGCCGGAGCCCTGAGGCAGACGGGGGGAGGAAGATGCTCCGGGCGGCTCCTAAGGCTGGGAAGGGGCTTGGGGTGCCGC